TCCCTTCATGCTTTCCCGAGATCCCTTCCCTGTCCCCGCCTCAGGCGCATCACACATGAACAGTCCTCCCCGGCTCCCTGGTGCTGGCAGCTGTCGCCCCCGGTGACTGTCCCGCCCGCGCCCCGCTTGCTTTCCGAGCCACACCAGGTTCTCGGGGGCGACGAGCAGCCTGTGTGCTCCTGGTGCTGTCCGTGCTGCGGTGGCCAAGGCCAAAGCCACCAGCCAGGAACGCCGGAGTGTCCGACTCCGCCCAGCGAACACCTCGTCCTGGAGACACGAGTGCGCGGCCCTCCCGACGCGTGTCAGCCTGCCTCGTCCCATGATGAAATCGCCTGTCAAAACAGAATGAGACTCCATTTTCAAGGCCTAAAAAATGGATTTTTATGGCTTTTCTTGTAATTCTCTTTTTGAATTAGGCACAGGATATTGATGTGGGTCTACTTTTTAATCATAATGGCGTCTGACAAGGTAATTAATTTTAAAACAACTTTTTTCTCTTGGTCCAAATGGCACTATACTGAAATTAGCAGTGAGTGCCGTGAGGGCCGCGGGCCCGGCACTCAGGTGATTGCCTCGGCCGTGACAGCCCTCCGTCTCGCCAACGCTGCGGACGGTGCTCGTTATTAATGAGCACAGGCCATTACATCAAGAGGAGCAGGGCATGGAAGTGTGATAAAATTTAGATTTTTAATGATAGAGTTACAAGAATCCGGCCCTGCTGACCGATTCCCCTGTAGTGGACGTGGCTCCCTCGGGGGCAGGGCAGCCGCAGCCGTGGGCATCCCGAGCGCCGCGCAGGCAAGAAGGACCCGCCGTCCAGGAGAACCTGCGGCAGCGAGCGCTTCTCCCGCTGGACGCGCTGGAGCCTTGTCGAGTCTCTTCAGCCCGATACCGTCTGATGAGCCAATAGTTGTTTGCTTCCGTGGTCCGTTCCCACAGCGCCACTGCCTGCGTCCCTCTGCTACCGTCCGACCCGTCAGGCCGGGACCCGTGAGGACATGGGCGGCCCATGGCCAGTGTGCGCAGGAGCCCGGGCTCTCTGTGGTCGCGCAAACACCCTCTCGCTGGTGCTGTCTCCCGCTCGCTGGAACCCCAGGCTTGGACCTGACCTCTGTGGTTTCTGTCGTCCCTCTGTGGGCAGTTGCCACTCCCACCACGGCCCCCACGTGTCCGGAGACCCGAAACGGCCCGGTGACTCCAGTGGCTTCACACACCTTCTGAATATTCATTGATCCCAGAAAATATGAGGTGCTTGCCTTGTTCCAGCCCAGGGCTTGACGGGGACGTCCCGCAAATCGCACGGGACAGATGGCATTTCTTAAGGCGGAGATTTTACGAGACGGTGTGGGCTCAGCACACAGGAGTTGACAGAGGAAGAATCCTTGGTAAGAAACAGACTCTGCACATGCGTGACGTATGTACACACGCCCACACGTGTGCAACACTTACACACGCGGGACATGCACGTACACCACGTACGCAGCACACCCGAGTCTCCCGCGTCACGTTTCCGCAGTCACACCTCGTCTCAAGCTCTGTGCTCCCCGTCCCAGGAGGAGCACGTGTGCAGAGAGCGGGGTCAGGAGTCCGACCCGTGAGCCGCCCCCAGGACTGCCACCGCTCCGTGCTTCTTGGTGGACGGAAGCTGACGGATCATCAGAAACGCAGATTCTCCGACACGCAGAGGGAGCAGGAGCCAGCCGGAATGTGCTTTGGTTTAGTTTTTCTCAAAAAAATAAAAATCAAAAAAAGAAAGGAAAGAGAAATGCGTCTGCGAGACCCGAGGCCGTGGACGCTGGTGGGGAGGCTGGGGCGCGCAGCCCCCGGGGGTCCAGGCGCCGTGCTGACCTTCTGCTCACCACGTCCTCGCCCGCTCCCAGCGACCAGCCAGCTCCGGGGGTCAGCAGCGGATGAGCATTAGGAAACCGTCCCCGGCACAGCAGTCCCGACCTCAGAGACCCCTCAGCCCGGACGGCACCCACCTGGCCTTTGTGTGTCCAGACCTTGGCAGAAGGATGCTCAGGAGCCACCCTGGCCAGGTCAGGAAGCCCGGCTGGGAGTGGGCTGTGGGGGAGGGGAGCAGCGTGGAGGGAGCGGCGGCGTCCTGAGACGGGGCAGGGCAGGCCGGATCATGGGAGCAGCTGTTTGCTGAGGTGACCCTGTGCCTCCTCTGGGAGCCCCTGGGGACAGGTGCCCTGGGGGGCAACAGGTGTGACCTCAGAAAACAGAAACCAGTCCCTGTGAAAAGCTGTGAATGGTGCTGGTTTGGGTTCTTAAAAGTCGTGATTAAACCCCAACAGTTGTATTCTGTCCCTGTGACCTGGCCCCGGAGGGCCTGCTCGTGGCAGCACCAGGACCGTGTGAAGGGCCCGCGTTCTCAGGGCTGAGGCCGCCTCCCATGCTGCTGGGGCATCTGTGCACCCGACCTGCACCCTGTGCCCATGAGGCCGGGGACCGGGAGGCCCGTGCTCAAGTGTCCTGATGTGACTGACGCTCAGAGACCTTTCCAGGTGCCTCTACTTGTTCTCTAAAGAGTTTTTTCTTCTGAAGCTGTTTAATGGCAGAAGCAGCTTCCGTCCCTTCAGGATGGGATGGGGGGGGGGCTTCCTGCCCAGGGACGGAGCCCACGTGGGACCGGCGTAGGGGCGGACCCTGGGCTGGGGCAGCAGGCGCCCCACCAGCACTCCTGACACTTGTATTTGTTTATTTCTTTTTTTTTTTTTTAAGATTTTATTTATTTATTTGACAGAGACACAGCGAGAGAGGGAATACAAGCAGGGGGAGTGAGAGGGGGAAGCAGGCTCCCCACCGAGCAGGGAGCCCGATGTGGGGCTCGATCCCAGGACCCCGGGATCATGCCCTGAGCTGAAGGCAGAGGCTTAACCCACTGAGCCACCCAGACGCCCCTATATTTCTGAACAGTGTTTCCTCCATAGCAGTTTATAACAAATGAAGGAATCTGCTGTTTGCACTCACCAGTGGTGTGTTAAACACGCCTTTCCTTTTCAAATGCAGGTATGAGTTGAAAGTTTTTCCAATTAAAAAGAAAAAGAGGATATTTGTGGACTGTATCTAGATGATACAGTGATTAAGGTAGGAGAGAAATGTGAAAACAGCCGAGATGTCCTTGAAGGAATCGTCCTCAGGACAGGCGTCCCCGTGGAAAGTCACGCCGCCTGCCAGCCTGCAGGGTCGGTGACGGTCTGCGGGGGAGGAGTGCAGGGCCTCAAGAGGCCAAGTGATTTGGGGGGTTTTGTGCTCCGTGACCCAACTGGGAAGAGGATGGAGCGTGGAACACACGGAGCGCTCAGCCGGCCACCGGGAAAATCGATACACGGAGATTCCCAGCGTCACCGCGATTCCGGACGGGTGGGAGGCCGACGGGGCTCTGCCGTGAAGGCGGGAGGAGCTGGGCGGGCCTTCCGGGGAGGATGCCCGGCCAGGGGCTCGCTCGTGCGAGGCAGAGCTCAGTGACGGCGGGAGGCCCACGGACGGCCCAGACGCCAGCCACGGACCCAGAGAGCGGGTTCTCACGGCTCCGAGGGCCGCTCTGGAGCTCATCAGGAAAGCGGCGAGAACGGAAAAGAAGAACCGGATGGAAGCGAGTTAGGACAGAAAATGCAGGTTCAACACGTCCGGAGCAATCGGGCGGCCCCGTGTGGGGAGTGCGTGGGGGTGGTGGGGGCGGAAGTGCAGCTTGCTCCCCCGGCCAGGACGGGGGGACAGTGTCGACAAGTGCCATGAGGCATTGGTGAGCTTCCCGACACCAGGACCCCGCATGCCCCCGGTGCCCCCCACCACTCACAGCCAGGAATGAGCAGTCACGGCCTACGGAGACCTTTCTTGTGACCCAGGAGAGCATCACGGAGCTGGGCAGGGGGTCATGTGCTCTGTCCGTCTTCCTGTCTGTCAAGCTAATGAACAGAGGAGGCCAAAGCAGTGGTAAGCAGCGCCGGCATCCAGGGGTCGAGGCAGGGGACATGGTGCCCACGCCCAGGGAGGCGAGGCAGGGGACACGGTGCCCAAGCATCATGCTAGGCCCCGCCAGCGCAGAGAGGCATTACCAGGGGGACTGGAGATGCATCAGGTTTCTTGGTAACCAGTGAAGGTTTCCAAGTCAATCTGGTTAAGACCTTGCCCCCGGCCTTTGCCGGCCTGATGACATTGGGTTTTAGTCCATCTGGGGATGTGCCCTCCGCCCTGTGCCCCTGCAGCCCCACAGCTCTGTCCGAGCAGGTGCGAGAGCGGAGCCGTGCCCCCTGACCGTCGTCCTGCACCGAGCACGTGCTCTGCTCCGCAGCCGTCTCTTTCGCGTTCTGCCGTCCGGTGGAAGGAACCGGCGCTCGGCTTTGCGGCCAGAAGCGAACAGCGGTCATTACTCGCGCTGGGTAACGCTGGGGCGCGTGGAGGGAGCCGTCCTCGTGCCTCGCCGTGAGCAGAGAGGTGACTGGGAGGAGGCTACCGGCTGGCGCACTTCGTGTGTGCCAGTGTCAGTGCAAGAGTAGGGAAGGGACCGTGGTCGATTGAAAAAAGGTGGAAAAGATGTTCCCACGCAGCCGGCGCCTCCCTTACCTCGCACCTCACGGTGCTTTTGTGCCTCGGAAATGTGGGAACGGGCCGATACCTGAACGCGTCAGAGCCAGCGCAGGCGTCCGTCCTGCTGGGAGGGGTCGTGGAAGCGCCAGGCCAAGGGCCCGGCCAGCAGTCCTGCCCTTGCGTCCCCGCCCGGCGACCCCCAAGAGCCCTGAGCCCGGCCCTCATTCTTCCCGCACGCAGACCACACTTCCCACCAGATGCAGTTTCCACGCTGCGCGGGCCCACTGGGCAGGACACAGTGGTGGCTCATGCGTGTCCGTGTGGAGAGGGCCACGTGTGTCTGGTGGGCGTGTGTCGTGGTCACTGCTGCTCGGGAGCGCGTGGAAGGCGCGTGCACGGGCCGTGTGGCAGAAGGGAGGCTGATTGCCTGGTGGGACGGTAATGTTGTCTCCTTCTCCTCCCAGAATCATCGACCAGCGATTCGAGAAAGTGTCCTACTTTGTGTTTGGCGATTTCAACTTCCGGCTGGACTCCAAGTCCGTGGTGGAGGTAGGCACCTGCCCCAGCCTCGTCGGGAGCCCATAGTCAGGGCCCTCACAGGCAGGATCAGCCCTGCCGTTCTCACTGCTGGTATTTACGGGAAATACTCCTCATAAGGAGGTTTTAGAGCTGAAAGGGGCCGTTACTGGAACTAGAAAGGGACAGAGTCCTGCTGACCTCCGCAGTGCTCAGGTGGTCATTGCCAATGACGTGCCGTCATGTCCTGCTGTGACGGTTCTGTTGTCCACTGTCGAAAAGCAGACAGGCCGGTGGGGAGACACGGCCGGAGGGGCTGCTCCCTCCGCTTCCTCGCTGAGAGTGCGGGAAACCAGCCTTTCACCGAAAGATTCGCGGACGTCACCCAGTTCCTGGGGCTTGGAGGCCATGTGTCTCCTGGGTGCGCCCACGGGCCCCCGGCGGGACGCTCCACTAAGAACAGGTGCAGACAGGAGGCCTCGGCCCTGCCCTGTCCCAGCCGTGGGACCTAGAGCATCACCTCTGCAGCCAGGGAGGGGGGCCCGGGGCTCTGGCTGAGGGCTGAGGGTCCACCGTATGCCGTGCAGCAGGGACCACAGCCCCAGGGCCAGCGGCAGTCAAGGGGAGTCTGCCCAGACCCCACCAGCAGGCCTGGACGGGGAGGCCGGCCGCCCACAGCAGGTGCACAGCGCACCCCTGGTGGAGACACGGGGGCTGTTCAAGCGATCGCCTTCCGGTCAGGATCCCGGGGCACAGACCCCACTGAGCGTCCATCATCCGTCTCCGCAGAAGTTGCTCCTGGAAGTTGGGGGGCGGGCTGTCCGTCGTTACAGCTCCCCGTGGGCGACAGAGATGAGGGATCGTGGGAATTGTCTCGTGATGCAGCTGATCCGATGGCGCCCCACTGGGTGGGCTCACAGGCGGTAGGCGGGTGCGCCTGGGCACACTGCAGGTGCTGCAGGCCGGGGGACGGGGGGTACCGGTGCTGTGGTGTGGGGCTGTCCGCCAGGACGGGCCAGTGAGTCCCACCAGGACTCTGAAGTCCTGCACACAGAGCTGCTCGTTTTCCCCTCCCCATGTGGAGGGTGGAGAGTGAGTCCGTCAGGGCCCAGGCCCATCAGCGAGCCCAGGAGCTCGTCTGTCTTGTGGAAACGTGCCCCCGTGTCTGACGCTGTTAGGGCCCTGGGGTCCTTCCCCAAGGGCCGCCACCTGCGTTAATTTCAGGCCACTGGGGGTTGAAAAGCCACGCTTTTGTGAGATCCTGACCCTCTACGCAGGGGTCCTTCCTGACGGGCGCTCGGGACAGTAAGCCACTGGGCAGACAGCCCCTCCTCGCCCCTCTGGCCTAACCCAGCCGGCTGTGCGCTCGGGGAGGTCCGAGGACAGTCGAACGTGGCCTTTTCTTCCCCGTGAAACAGAGACCCCAGCAGGGGTCTTCTGCTCCACGCGCGGCCAGGGCTGCCCCAGGGCTGTGTGGCGCATGACGCAGGGGCTGAGCCGGAGGCTGGCCTGCAGAGGGCGAGAGGAGCAGGGTGGCGGGAGCCGGTCGCGCGGGTGCCGGTGCCGTCAGAGCCTCCTGCCCGAGAACCACACTTGCCCGCCCCCGGGCCGAGACCTGTGGAGCTGGGCTCCTGCGTCGCATGCCCTCCGGGAAGACAGCTGAGGGCTGGCAGCACTCAAAAGGGTTAACAAAGGACGCTGCGTGCTGTTTGTCATGTAACGCGGCCCTCACGCTCAAGGTGCCTTCTCTGATGCCTCTCCCCTGCTCCGTGGCCTTCAGCAGCTTGGACCGTGTCCTACAACAAGGGGCTCCTGTGCACGGTGGTCCCAGCAGGTGGGAGGGACTGTTGTGAATCACTGAGGAGCTTCAAGAGTCTTCGAGCTGCCGTAACCCGGATGGTTCCGGGATCCATAAGCGTCCGTATCTGAAGGGCTCCCAAGTCTGAAAGTCTGTCCCGCGTTCTCCTCCCTTTCCTGCAGGAAAGCAAAGGAGGATCTTGGTTCTGATGATTTTCCCGTCAGAATTTACAGATCTAGAGAAGGAATGACTTGAAATGCTCTTTTTAAGAGAGGATTCAGATTTTCAGAAGAAGTGGGACAGCACACACGTGCCTGCCTCTCCCCGAGCCCGCAGGCCCCTGCGCTGGGCCCCCATCTCCTGTCGACCCGACTGGCCCTGGCCCAGCATCTTGGGGTCTTGGCCCCTCCCTGCACCCCAGGGCAGTCGGCCGCACCCCACCGCCAGCCAAGGGGGCGAGGGGACACGGGGAGGCCAGGCTGCCTGCATCTCCGGAGCTCAGATGGTGAGAAGCTACGTTCCCACAGTAGCTGCCCCTTCCCACCCCTGCACGTCTGTGTGATGTCAGGCACCAAGTGTGGTTTTATGTACCTAGAAAGATGGTAACTGTCTTCCCTTTGTGTCGTCCCTCCTTTGAGGAGGTCACGTAATAAATACATTCCCGGTGCACCCTCTCTTAAACATTTCCACGTGTCCCTCCAGGTCCCTGTTGACTGCCCTGCTGGGAGGCCCCACAGTGGTGGTGCTGGGGAGGCACGGGACCGTCGGTGGCTGGAGGTCCCAGGAACCCGAGGCCCGAGCCACAGCAGGCCGAGGGCGGGGACACCCAGGGTGTGTCGTGGGGAGGCCTCGAAAGGTCACAGAAGGCGCCCCTGATGGTAGCGTGGAACTAGTGCGACACTTTCTCTGAGCTCGTTGTCATGACATGGCCTCTCCCAGCTCCCGTCTTCACCTTCATCCTTGTCCCCTCATCCTTGTTGTCCTTGTCCCCTCGCCTTGGGGCCCATCCAAAAGCCAGCCTGGTTTCGTCTCAAGATCCTTCACTAATTACGTCGACAAGGACCTTCCTTCAAAATAAGGTCATGTTCTGAGGTCTGGGCAGACACGGATTGTGGGGGTTGCCTCAACCTGTGCGTGACAGCCCGTGATGCCAGAACAACATTTGAAAGGCCAAATGCTGAACAGTAAACATGCTTGTTGGCACAGGTTCATCTAAACATAAGTTAAACGGGAAAGGAACGAGTTTCTTGCACTGGTGAGTGATTTCAGTGGCGTTAGGTAAGGCGTCTTTAGTTACCAAATTTTAAAATACCACATGAGCATATCTTAGAAAATCAGAATCTACTAGTAGCACGGCTTGGCTTTCTAAAAGGGTTACTTTTTTTTTAAATTTTTTTTATAGATTTTATTTATTTGTCGGAGAGAGAGAGAGGGAGAGAGAGAGAACAAGCAGGAGGCGGAGGCAGCGGGAGAAGCAGGCCCCCCGCCAAGCAGAGAGCCCGATGTGGGGCTCGATCCCAGGACCCTGAGACCATGACCTGAGCCGAAGGCAGAGGCTTAACCCTCTGAGCCCCCCAGGTGCCCCTTAAAGGGGCTTTAATTATGAAAACAACTGATGAGATTTTGTGGGAACCCTGAGAGTCTGACTCAGCCTGAGGTACCCACAGGCAGGCCTGCGAGCAGATGGTTGAGGAGCGGCGTTCCGGAAACCTGGGCACCCTGAGTCCGGCCCTGGTGAATGCGGGTTCAGGGCCCAGCGTGCGGAGGGGCAGGCTCTCCGTCGGGCCTCTGACCCACTTCACTTTGCTTTTGCTTGTCTTCCAAACTAACTGCCCAGTGAGGACATGCGGAGACCGTCGGACACCACCTCCGGCCGGGCAGCGTCACCGGGAGCGTGTAGAAGCGCGTCCGCGGGGCCCCATACCCGCAGGCCCCATGCTGAGAAGCATGAGGTCAAGCCTCGTGCATCTCAGTGTCCTCTGGGCGCCACGGCCCGCGCGGGGTCAGGGGACGGGCTCCCGCAGGTGCGCAGCCAGGACGCCCGCCCGAGCTGGCGCTGCTGAGCCATGGCTCCCCACGGGATGCAGACGTGGTGGCTGGCGTGAGCTCCGGACCGGGCGGTGCTGCGGCGGCCCCGTTCCTGCCGCCATGTTTCCAGAACCCGCGTGGGAGGCCGTCCTGGGGGCCGTCGGGCTGCCCGTTGGCTTTTCTCCAGCCTGCATGGGTGGTTCTGGGCCACAGACCCGTGGCGGGTCGGAGCCTCCGATTCTGGTCACCGCTTCCCAGCAGGCTGCTCCCAGCCAGCGTCCCCTCCTCGTTTGCTCCGTGAGACTTTCCTGTGTGCCCACTGCGTGTCTGGGCTGAACGCAGGGCCCGGCCCCATGGTGACGGCCTGGTGCCAGCAGGGGCGTGGGGGTGGGTCTGCCTCGCGGTGGGACGGCCCCAAGACCTGGCCGGCCTGGGGACACTGGAGTCCCGCACCTCGTCTGCTCTTCCTGACGTGCCTTCCCGTCCGTTCCCTGCACCCTTGGGAGTCGGAGCAGCAACCTGAGAGCGGCGTCCTCCCGAGCGCCCGTGCTCGCTGAGACCGTGCGCTCTTTGCAGGAGAGCCCTGACTCGGATGCCACCAAGGCTGCGGGCCAGAGGCCAGCAGGGCCTGTTTTGGGGCGGGGTCTCCTGTGGGAAGGCACAGCAGGGAGCTGTGGGGTCCTGTCGGGTTCTCAGGTGTAGTCTGGGGGCATCAGTGAGGTTGGCATGCGGACAGGGTAGGAGGTGCAGCCCTGGCAGGCACTGGGGTGTGGGCAGCCCGGAGGAGGGGGCCGCTCTCCATCCTCCACGGGGCCCAGGGTGCTCTCTGTCCCTCTGCAGTGCCAAGGAGATGAGTGGGGCGCCCGACCTCTCCTCCTGAACCACACAGACACAGGCCAGAAAAAGGCAGTGGGGCTGGACCCACATTGCCCACCACTGGCCTGGGCCTGGGCCTCCATCTCTCCACCCGAGTGGACGGGTAGACTTCCCTGAGCCGTGACTCCTCTTGGAAAAGCCGCTTGTGGACGCCCACATTCAGTGCTTGCAGACTGGGTCCTGGGGACAGGAGGAGAAGGACATGCTAACCTCTACCCTTGGTTCCGGAGAAGGGGCTGGACGTGGTTTTCAGATCACCCAAGGGCAGCGTGGCTGGTGACCACGAGTGCCCTGGATAGCGTGCGTGTGGGAAGACGGCCGAAGGGGGCAT